TGTCCCTTGGGTCTACAAATCAGAACATGATCTTAAGAGTAATAATTTTTGCCCTGAAGTATTAGCCAACCCTCAGAGCACTATGTACTGCTGTGCTCAGGAGGAGGATGATGCAGTATAGCAACTTGCATATGAATATTCTAATTTCCAGAAGTCCTCTTTTCTATAGGATGGGAAGAATCCACACAGCATGTGTGTAGTTTCCAGCTCATGCTCCAAGTGGGAAAAGTATCACATGGTTTTTTCTCAAAATGGTTTTTTTTTCTCACACGGTTTTTTCTCAAAATACCATGCTCTTTCCTCCAAGAACTCTTATCCTTTCATTGCCTGGACACAAAAGGCTCCATAAAACATGACCACAGAAATATTTTACCTGCACATGATTCATGTGGCTCTCTGCATGCTTACTGATATGCACAAAAAAGTAATGGAGCAAAAAAGTAACATAAAGCTGCTCAATGGTTTTTAAGTGAAGAGCATCAGAATGCCTCATAATTTCATATAAGGTCAACTCTATCCTAAGCAACTTTTCAGAGGTACTGGTCTTAAAACTCTCCCAATCTATCAGGCCTAGCATTGGTGTGCATTAGAACTAAAGTCATCAGACTCAGGTGGGCTAACACAATGGCTGCCATTCTCCCTTTTTCACTCTGAAATGTTTCCCTCCTGATATGATGGACTGTTGATATAATTTTCCAGGCTCCTGAAAGCTGAAACAATCACTTGTGCTTAGAAATGAAAGTAATCAGAGCTATAAAGTATTTTAGGCAATTATTCTGGTTTCCTTTGTGCATCCACATTGACTAACACCCAACCTTCCTCCAAAAAACAACACCTCAATGTTGACAGCAAATTTAAGTATAGTCTTCCTCAGATATGCAACAACAGAAAATGCAAACCACTCCTATTCCTTCTCAGGGATGTCTGCTTTTGCTGTTTGGAAGAAGCATTCAGCTGGAAATCCTCAGCTTTTCCCATCTGAGATATATGAGGTTTTAAAAGCTGTAATCCCCCAGCAGAAAGCAATCACCTCCCAGTCTGCTTTTTCCTCAAAAGCCACTTCATAGTATGAAGGTCTCTGCCCATGGATAAGGACCTGGTGACTAAACAGCACTACCAGCTTGTGCCTGCTTGTAACATCTTATTTTCTTGTCTCATTAGACTTGATTGCACAGGACAGATATCAGTTATATTTTCTTTTGACCAGCTCTGTCTTTACAACATTCTTTGCTGGTTATCTTTTTTCTACCTATTTTTGTAACTGTCCCACCATTTCAATGACTCTGTCCCCTTGATTTCTGTATTACTGTTAATGCTCTGAAACAAGTATACAAAGTTTCCCTCTCCTGGATAGTAGGTTTAGAAATATTATTAAGTGTGCACCATTAGCTTACTTATTCCTCCCTAGACCTGTAGCCTCTATTCTTACAAGGACAAATTTTAGAGCAAAGTTTAACACAGATTTACTGGGGACTGTGATGTTTTTAGTCATTTCACCTCATTGGAACCAGCAAGTGGGATCTATAATCTAAACTCACTTGTCCAGCAGCAGAAAGCCACTCATAGTCAGGCTGGGTGGGTTTGTTCTGAATATCTCTGGCTCTCTTTCAGTGATATCGATTACAAGTCCAATGGAACACTTACACATCAGTCCATTCCTGCTTCTTAAAAGTCCTCATGAGTATCTGGCTATGCAAGAATTGCAAATCTTTTGATGCCTTTCTGCCAACACTGACTGATGTGGGCTCTGCCTTACCATCTACCAGCAATTCATATTTCTTTTAGGACAATTTTTGCAGTAACAACACAAGAATGCTCAAGCTGGCAGATGAAAATCCCCCAGCTTCATCATCTTCCCAGCCATTTGTTTAAAGTAGGGTACTGTATGGAGCCTAATGAGCCTCCCTGGGAGTGCATCCTTCCAAGACAATTGGCCCATACTTGAGTTCATTGCAGTGTGACAATCTGACCACAGCCCATGGGGTTTTTCTAGCTTACAGCTGGAGTAGAAGAGTCTTATAAGTGTCTAATCCTACCACTGCAAGTGTAAGTCCATAGCCCCAGTGCTGGCCATCATATATGATCCTCCTCTTGGTGTCTCATGGTGGTAGCTCAGGTACTTAAACACTAGCACATATCTGTAAGCAAGAACCAAAGCGATTAGAGTTTTTCAGGTCTTTCCCTTTCTTGGAAAACATTTTTGTTTCCAGCACCCCCTTTGCTAATCATCTTATTTCCTTACTTCCTAATGTGGCCATATATTTTGTGTTTGTGTCTCAGAACTGATGCATTCTTCATTTACAAACCATTTCTAGGAAATAATGAGGTGGTGTTGTAGTTCTTTTTCTGCTCACTGTCTTGTTTCAATTCCCTTCTGAAATCTCCACGTTTGGATTTTAATCCATTTAAAATGGAGACCTGTGAGCTATTTATCTCCATCCTTTTGTACAATGGGAAAATTAATGTGTATTTTGGAAACAGAATCATGCTCTTGACAGCAGACAAGTTTTTGGCTGCGTATGATTAGCTAAAGTTTAACCAGAAAGTTGTCACAAATGAAAAAACAACTATAAAATCAAGGAACACTGATAAAATCATCCTTCTAAATAAAGCACAGTAAAAACAATAAACCTCTTTCTCCTAAACACAGGACAAATCAATCAATGTGAGATAGAGAACACTCTGTGGCTCTTCCATCCAGCCTGCAGACTGAGGGGTGGCATGAGCAGGGCTTCTGCACCCTTCTCCATGCTGCTTTCACCCTAAGATGCTGGATATGATGTGTTAAAAATCTAGAAACAAAGCAACACACTTTTGAGACAATTTAATACAGGAAGTAATATAAAAGCTGGTCTTTAATTGGAGATCTCCAAAGGAAAGTGAGGAAAAATGCCCACATCACATAGGGTGAATACAGTTTTGTAAGTTTAGCATTGGAGCATAGCCTCTACTCCACCCCTGCCCTGCTGCTTCTCCCCAGGACTGGCAACAGGAGCTGGGAATTTCTTTTTGACTCTGAGACTCTTTTTTGGGATGGAGATGTATAACTCTGAGGACAGTGCTCTCAGTTTTTCCAGATCCCTGGTAATGGCAAGGGAGCTTAATAAGCTCTTACAGGGACTTGAAATAGCAGATAATACAACCAGTGAGTAACCTAAACCATAATATTACCATATGGGCTTAAACTTTGGGAATATCTTTAATGTTTAGAGCTCTGCTAATTAAAGGCTGTGAGATATTCTTGTTCCTCCTAAAAACGCACATATTTAGTAGAAAACATTCTTCTCAAAGGAGTCTAGACAGTTTCTTTCCCATTTAAATTTCACATCAAACACTTTATTTCAGTCACTCAGTGAATATGCCCTAGGCAACTGAATCACAGCTAACAGCAAATTAATGACTATGATGTTGTGATTAGCAGAGAACACAGGCAACTGAGAACCTGTCCAAACATTTACTGTAGTCACAGCATTTATGCCAGCCATTATTAGGGATAAATAATGGCCACAAAGAGGACTTGATTCCACCAGGTAGACCCTTTAAAAAGTGTCACTGATAGTAATATATAAATGTTGAAAATTATTTCTATTTTACCATTAAAAAAAATTCTAGATGCTTACATTACTAATTAAATTACATACTACCAGAAAAAAAATCGTTTCTATTACATTTCAGGAACAAGCATCATGAACAAACACACTTGACAGAGAAATTTAATATTGTATTACACAGGGGGAGCCAAAATAAAACTTGAAGTCTGAGACACTGATGCTGTGAGACCCTACACCAAAATCCAACTGGGAAGAAATAATCATTTCACTTATCCATAGCAATGATTTTTTGAGGAGTTCAAATAAAAGTTTGCTTGTTCTGATAAGATCCACTGAGTAGATGTTATTTGATTTTCCAGATTCCCCTGTCTGCTGGAAGAGCAATGGGCTGAACGTGCAGTTGAGCATCTTAGATGCTAAAGACACAATAAAAGTGAACTCACTGAGTATTTGCCAAGGCTCTTGCCTTTCATTTAATTTCCAAATGCCATCCAGTCATATGAAACCTTTAAAAGGGTTTCTTAAAGTAGAGCAAACAGGAGGGTGGGAAGTTTTTAATCTTGTATTAAAGATTTTAAATTTTTTATAATCATTCTTATTTAAAACAGAGTAACTTGAACTTATGAAAAGACTCAGCACTTTAATAATAAAAAAACCATCTGCTTCTTGTGCCTGTTCCTATAAATATTTTGTTACTAGATGACAGTGGAAAACATGAAAAGCTAATGACTGACTGACAAGTAGATTATTTAGATATTGAAATGAAAATCTAATGAAGAGCAACATCACTAATCATATGTTATCGTTTTGGGAAGCTTCACATAATGATTTTCCAGTGACTCAGAAAAACATCCACCCTCGTCACCAGACAGTGCAATACATTAGCAGCAAAGGGAGATTTGTGGTACAGAGCACAATCTCTTATAATTGCAATACTTATAATGTCAAATATCAAAGAGCAAGTAATAAAAACTATAATCATTGTCCAATTTGAAGCACGATCTTAAAAACACTCAGGCACACACCCAAATATCTAGAAGACTGATTTCTAATGTATGAAATACAAGGACAATTGATTCTTAAAATTAGAGGCAGGAGGAGGAAAGCAATAAAGCTTCCAGTAACGATTTGTGGAAAGGTGCTTTAAAGTGTTAAATCTACTAAAGAGAAGCATTTGAGTTACAGCCTCCACTGCAGAAAGACAGAACATGTTAAACAAGCCTCCTAGACTGCAGAATTCTGCTTTCAAATTTCACATCTTTAGCCTAACCCTAGCCTAACCCCAGTAAATCCTGTGACATCACACAGGTATAACACAAAACTGCCTTTTGTGATGATTTTTAAGAAGTATTCCCACTCTTCTTTTTCTCAGAGGAGCCTGCTATCAGCTGTGTAAATGTCATATCTGTAATAACAGAAAGAGAGGGTGAAGTGTGCCCATGATCTTACCTCATACTCAAAGTCCTCTGCTCTATCTGCATCAGCAGGCAGGCTGGAAAGATACTCATTGCCTTCATAAAATTCATGCTCCACTGGGTGAAGAGAATGGCAGCTATGTGGAACAAAGCAGTACAATAACAATAGATGAGAAAATATGTTTTTTTTTAAATTAAAAGGTCCCACCTCACCCCCCTCCACTGTCACCTCGTCCCCCTGCTGCCAACCCAGTCTCACTTCATAGTTTTCTCATCTCAGAAATGCTTGTCTGAACGGCTGGACAGCCTGAAAGAACCAAGTACCTGAAAGAGCCAGTACCAAGAAGCAGCACAGGCTGTTTTCCCTGAAAAGCTCATGCTCTGGTTGAGTTCATTTTGCTGGATTCATCTTTAGGCATATTTACACAGGGTGATTTCTTATAACGATCTGGTTTGAACCAAACTGCTTCACTGTAATTTTGGATTTCTTACACCCATAAGGGTACATAACTCCAGATTCAGGTGCTGTGTCATGGCTGGGGGCAACTCACTAGTTATCTGGTCATAGTCTTAATCTACAGGCCATATCAGGCTCACAAACTGCTCAAGAATTTATGTAAAATAACCAGCAATATCCACTTGTGTTAAAGTGGTAACAACATGGTAAAGTGCACTTGAGCAACTACACAGTTACAAATGTTAGTATATTGTACTGTTAAATGGATTTGGAACACAAAGAATGAGGTCTTTACAGCATCTTTAGACTCAAGGCTGGATCCCAACCGTGTATTATCCAGGGTGGACCTATTTTAGCAGAGGTTGAAAACTCTTCCCCATGCTGAGGGCACGGGAACTTCAATCACAGTAGCCCAGAGTTTAGAAATACCCAGTAAAAACTCAGAAATACATGTATCCTGTTCCTTGCTGTGCAGCAGTCAGCAGTAAGCCAAATCCATCTAGCCCAGACTTTCTAAAAATGGACCTACATCAAAGTTAAAAGTGTCATGTTCTGCATTAGCATCAATTCTGCAAACCCACACAACGTGCCAGCAAATCAGTGAAAAGGCTCTTGGGCTATAATATTTTTTGGCAGGCTACAGAGGGTCTGTAGGGTCATCTGAGGTCACCCACAACATGATGTTATTTATGAGGTGGGGTTAAAAGAGGAAGAACCCTACACCCTATTTATGTATAAGCACCACCTGCTGGTGTTCACATCCAATTCAGTTCCAAAGAGAGATAATTTAATTAATATATTTTGCCATATGACAGATGAAATGGTACTTTTTCATATCTATATTTTTGGAATTGTTTTGCTTTTGATAAGGGGAACTTTATATTAAATCACTTGTTTCCTTGATTTGTTTTTGTAAAAAAAAATTGGAAGAAAAGAAAACAAGACAAGCTCTTTCTAGGTCTGAAAAAGCCTTTTTGGTACTTTGGAACACAGAAGTGTTTTTCTTCTTGACTAGGGCTTAGCTTTGGATGAACGGATATATAAACACAAAGTAAACATGTCTGAGATTCCTCCCTGTAGCCCTAATCTACAAGCAGAGTTTAGGAAAGCTGTCACTGAAGCCTGTATAGGATAGTGGTTATCAACAACATTTATTATTTATTTAAAGCGTTCCTGAGATTTTTCAGGAGAAGGCAAAAAGATCATCCCTGCAATGCCTCAATCCTGCAGGTAAACAGCAGAAAAAGATAAACCATACCTATCTGAAAGGAGAAAAGGGCAGATATCTGGAACTGGTGGTGTGGAAGGCCTTAGCTTGGCCAGAGCCATGATGTGCTCAAAAGTGATGTCAGTCTGAGTGCTGGCATCCATGAGCCGAACATCCTGAGAGCCGCTGTGAGCCTTGGCAGCTGGGGCTCGTCGTAGCACCTGAACCACGATGGGCTCCTTGGCATTGCGGAAAGCTTCCACGGCCTCCTCGTGAGTGGCCTTGGACAGGTCCTTCCCATTGACCTAGGGAAAACAGGGAAAACAGCCAGGGTGAGAGAAAAGGCAGCATAAAAACATGGGTGTAAAATATAGGGGGATGAATTATTTGTGCGGCACATCAAGCCCCTGATGACATCGATGAGCATATTTTGGTATCCATGCAAGAGGGAATATACAGATGGAAGGAGAAATAAGTTCTTTAATCTTTCCCAGAAATTAGAAATGGTTTGAACTCTTCCATAACTGTCCCACCCAATGATATCCAAACACAGCAAAAAAAACCCCAATATTTAGAAAGTAATTTATATTATTTCCTCTTATCCTATTTTATTAACTTTGTAAAATACAGCTAAAATAGGAAGGGTGCCTTTAATTTTAAATTTCAGCATTTTCTGTGGTATGCAATTGTTTTAAAGGATTTCTGGCATAGCACTGTTATTAATGCAGATGTCAATAAACACGTCTCTGATGTCTAAAAAGAAACAAGGCCAATTTTCAATGTTTTGTCACTTATCTGCTACGGCCATTATACAACCATTAAGACCACAGATAGGAAGATTGAACTAGCACAGTCAGCTGCTGGTCTTTCAAGGAAAGAGAACTAACTCAATAAATAATTTGCTATGAACAGACAAATAATCAACCAGAGAAAATTACATTGCAAATGTAGCATAGCTTGGCAAAACTAAAATATTGTGCCAAGATTTCTTTCTGCTACAGGCAAAGCAGCAAATTCCTCCTGGTCTAGATGAGGCCTAAAATAATGTAACTGCAAGGTTTGATTATGCTAAATTTATACAAATTCAGGTGCTTGGGGCAAGATTTGCAAGCATCAGCCCACTAAAAAATGTGAAGGGTAATTGCTCAATGGCAGTCAGTAGCTAAGCCCTTGAACACAGGGCTGTGCAACATCCTTTCAGAGAAAATACTATTCCACTGGTTCCAGAGCAGTGGGACCCCTGTTGACTGCTACACAGGACCTAACTGTTGTGAGATATTGTGGAAATGAGATGATCCTGTGCTGGGGTAGAAAGGCAGGGTTTTCTAGTATGAAATGTGAATACCTGAAGGCACCAAAACCTGCTTAAAATTTATATTCCCAGGAAAACTTCTACACTGCCAGCAAATCAGAAATAGGAGTCTGCCACAAGGTCATGCTCAAATTATCTTCTTTGTATGGACAATGTGTCATAAAAACTTCATAAAACTTAATGAACCCTCCCCAGAAATGGGACAGACCCATAAATTACTTTTCCACAATGTTTGCAAATAGCAGTGGAAATGAAAATTTCTCTGCCACATCACTCCTTCATTCAAGAAATTCTTGGAAATTTCTTGTCAAAAAGGACAAAGGCAAACAGGAACAATGTCAGCAAACTCAAAAGAGCCTCAATAACTCAGCAGCCTTCAGCAACATTTTGAAGAAACTTGTGCAACCATAGTCCTATCATATTTATGTGTATGGCTAGCATACTGCTTACCATTAATTTCAAGTATATATCAATTCAGTACATTTCCAGAGTATATGCACAAGTACAAGGTAGCATCATCTTTCCTCTGACTTAATTTCCAAAGAATCAGCCCTTTCACGCCCATGTCACTCACAAGGACATGCCAAATAAATGCACTGTGATGTAGCCACCAATGTAAAGGTCAGCTGATCTTTCTAGCTGGACCTGATGCACTGATGAGAAGCCTACAAGTTTTGAACACATTTCTGTACATATAAAAGCTCAAAACTCTTTATGCTGAGTGCCTGGGGCACCCAAAAGTACCACACCACTGCAGCCTAGACTGTGACCAGGTAATTCAAATGGCAGCTAGGCTGGTCACCTAAGATCAATGCATATCTCTGGTCTGTCTGATAACTGAAGCAGAAAAATTAAGATTTAATGTTATAATTTTATCATTTAGACTATCATCCATAAAATCATAATTAATTATCATTTAATTTGCATGGGAAAATATCAGTTGTATCTAAGAGGAAAAGCCAGAGCTGTCAAAGAAAAAATTAAGTTATAAGAAAACCAAAGAAATTTCCCCCAGAAGAGAACTTCTGCAAACCCTCCCTGCTAACACAAGTGACACTGCCAGGGTGTTCAGACTCAGCGCCATCTAATGGAGGCAATTCGAGATAAAGCTTCAAGCCTGGGTCTTCCTGACACTCTTCAGTCTCTGCTTCATTCTTGTTTCTAACTCAGATCCTATCAAGGTCACAGTTTTTCAGTGTCTGTGACTTTTATAAAAAGAGTGGCCTATAGGCTGTCTGAGGGACGCTCATACCTAAGGCCCTAAGAATAGAAAAATTACTTTCCTGGCTCCCCAGTCCCTTTCAATACTTTTTCAGCTTCAGACAACTATATGGTGTTTCTCCTAAAAGTACATGTTTGAGAATAAACACCACATAGCAATGTATCAATTCTTTTCCTCTATTCAAGAATAAAACATGCAATCCTTCTGTATCCCAGCTGAACCATGTGGATATTGGCACAAGATAACCATTTGATCACAGATCCACATCAACAATCTAAAAGACATTTGGATAGCATACAAAACCCTTTTTTTTTTTTGAAAACCAGAAGCTCTGTCTATTCACATCAGTCAACACTTATCACTTATTCTGAGGAAATAGACATAAATTCACAATAATGCCATTTACATGCAAATTTTATTTCTAAAGAATAATAATATTTTAAAATCACATGAATGTGAAAAATCACAAAAGATACACATTTTCATTTATCCTGGGAACCTATGTCTGACCTCTATTTTCATTTAAATGCCTATTTAATTTGATGACTTCAAACACATTCTCTCCTTTATTTGGTTTCTTATGAAACACAAGCACAGTGGACTCAATACTTGTTTAAACTGTCACTTGAAGTTCATCAACACACTTTGTCGATCTGCACAAAGGTCACATAATTTACAAATGCCTCCTTTTTCAGAAGAAAATATATAGCTGAATTACTCTATGCTGGCAGCTGTCCTGCCCACTTGGGGCGGAGGAGAATTTTTTAAAACCCTGAAGCCAGTACTACATATGGGGTTGGAAGCACTTTCCCTGCAGGCTCTTTAAGGATCTTCTTCCTGCATTATCCCTCAACTTAACTCTCACACACAGTTACCCTGGGAGTTAAAGACAGCTGAGCACTTATTTATAACAAGCCATTTACAGGTTCTTAGTGGACGATTAAATAAATTCCTCGCCTCTGAAAGGTTACTTTCAGTGGAATCCAGGATACTATTTTAAGTGGATAGAGAAATCAGTCACTTTTAACAGTCAACACAAAGACAAGGGAATACATTTGTTGTAGCAGATGGGCTAATTAATCCACAAGCTAGTTGTGAATGTTAAGTAAAGAATATATCTTTTCTCATGTAAACCATCCTCCTCCCCTCTTTGATTAAGCTTTTGTTTAATGAAAGCTCTCTCCCCCATCCCTGGCTATTGGACACACTGCAAAGTCTGGGCCACTTGTCAACATCTCCCCCAGAGTGACTAGTGGCCACTGCCTGGATCCTTGCCATCCCCTTTGGATTCTTGCTCTAAACCCAGCCACATGCAAAACTTCATCAGCATCAGAAAATAAACAAGGAAATGGGCTTTGTCTTTCATGCAAACATCAAATGACATTGGCCAACTGCCACTTCTAATGCCAGCACCAGTGCACACAGGCTGTTCCCACACAGGGAGGTGGGCAGCAGAGAAGGACAGGACTAAATAACAAAACAGTGACTATGAAATATGTAGAAAAATGGTTGTTAAGTTATCTTAATGTTAGGAGTGCTAAAGAAAAGGTGAAGAAAAATCAGTCCTTCAATGAAGACTGCTTCCAGGACTTAAGTGCCTGTGACTGAAAATTTAAACTGCCTTGTCTGTTTTCTAACACTTTTCTGCTCTTGATCTTGATTTCATGCTGGGCAGAATTTTTGAAAGAGCCAGAAACACAAATGTTTTCAGTAGGCTTTACTTTTTCCATATTAAGAGAAAAAGGAAAATAGCAGAAAAAAGAGAAAAAAAGGAAAAAGTATGTATAGTCATGTGAATACAATCATCACAAAATCATAAGCAGTTCATGAGATAACCTCCTACCCTCAGCAAATATCTGGCATATGAAAGTTTAAATTTAAGATCACCTCTGCTGAAGTAAAATCCTTTGAGACACTTCATTTATTCAGCAGAGGCAATGGGAAGAATAACTGAAGTGTTCTGCAAGAGCAGAGATGTCTAGACACACAGCTTTCCTAGCTAAATGACAGAGATGCTGTCTGACACGATGATGGAGTTCACACAAGGCTCACTGTCCTAGGAGATTTCAACACCCACGCAGAAGATGCCCCTGACCTGACAGGTGCTAAATCTGCTCTCATCACAGCAGTCTCCCCACCTTCAGTCTCTCACCCTAAATACACCCAGGCTACCATTCCCTGGGTGCATCCTTGGACAGCTGACTGGCACAAAGATCGAACACTGTCCTTAAGTTTGACCAGTCCTTCTTTAGGACAGGAATCTGAGCCTTTCCTAACTGCAGGCAACAGAGAAAAAAGAACAAAAACATCTCAGCTTCCTTCCAGATTTACAGCTTTTGGCATGCAGAAACTCTAGGAAACTTCTACTGCTGAGGGCCAACAGCTGCGAGGCTCCCTGGGCAGGGCAGGTTGGCATTGCACATGTCACAGTGCCAGCCTGTCAGCTGCTCCCAGTGACACCCATGCTGCAGAGGGACACTGAGTCTTCTGCTAACACTCGTGTGATAGCTCATCTACAGAAAGGGCATTTGACACACTGACATTTTAGGTTACAGTTTAGTACTAAGCCGCATTTCTTCAGCAAGTTAATCTGAAAGACAGCAAATTCAGCCATTATCCAATACCACTACCTCAGTCAGAGTTCATGCAAGCTCAGTAAAGGGACAACTTCTATTATGCTGGTTAATGACATTTTCTCTTCCTTGGCCAGATGAGTTAAGCGACTCTTGTTCCAATTTGATCCTTTGCTGCCCTGAATGTGAAATCTTGTC